ATCTCGAGTATCAACCGGTATATATCTCCTAACTGTACCAGCTACACGCCCAGCATCATCATGCTCTCCTTCTAAACATAAAAACAACAAAATTATAGAATATACAGAGCAGCACTACCAATAATACAAATCAAGCAGACAATCTACTAGTTCAACCATACCTGATTCAGGAACAGGATTTGATAGAACAGCAACATCTCCCTCCTTGAAAGCCCATTTACATTCATTTACCGAGAGAAGTATAACATCATACCATCCTAAACCAGATTAAAAAAAGGCTAGCAGTCAGGTAAAAAAGAGAACAGCCAGCAGAGAGTCAACATTGTTGCCCAGAGGCCTTTACAAGTGTGATTAGGTAGCAGGGCTGTTTACCTCTCTCTCTTCTTTCGATGAACTTTATTCTGACCTTCATGTATGAATTTGCCTCAGCCAATTCTTCCCATGTACTGTAAAGTTGTGCCCGGCACTCCTCGAAAAGTAAAGGTTCAAACACTCTAACATACTCATCCATGGATTCAAACCGCTCAGGAACACTCTGGAGATCAGTATCCTCTATACAAAAGAAAATTTTATGCAAAAGAGTCAATTACATTATGGGAAATAAGGCAGAAAAGACAGACATATTTGGGAGAACAGCGGCCGTATGAAAAAGTTTAAGTGAATCAACATCATCCATACAAGTCAAAATTTCTAGTGCGAAGTGTACAGAACAGACCAATGGCATGTCAATCAAAAAGCCTACCAATATCCAATATTTACTTTCATTAATAGACCATTCAGGTTTCAGATAAGCACAAAATCAACCAGATTTCTATACTGAGCCAAAAAAAAGCCTCTTTAACCAAGATGATTAAACCCACCAAGACCCAACCTAATAAATGATGTTCATCGACAATGAACCATGAAGTGCATGTCTAAGACAATGGAGTATTATATTCCCCTGTGTTTAGTGCCTTAGCAGGCAGAGATAGTACCAGGGATGAAAACTAGATAAAGCAACTTTTCCTACAGAAACTGAGAGACAAAACAGGACAAGTAGATAAAAAGATTAACACAAACTAGAAGAGCTCTGTCATCTACTTTTACAGGTATGATTTAATCGTATCACCTTCCAAATCCTGTGGCCATTACGATTCTCACTGAGCCATGATTCGGGACACATGGAACTGGCACCAGAGCAGTAGATTATAATTGGCATAAAAGTTCCTACCTTAAATGAAGATAACTTAATTGAAAACATAGGAGCACTCAAACACATGTTCCATAAGCAGAAACACTAATAGGACATACCTGGACGATGCCAGAACTTTTCGTTGGTCACCTCTCGTAAAAGGCGCTCCACCGACGTATCTTGGTATTGGGTACTATTTGTGGCTTGCTTCTTGAACGAAGTAAATTTCTTGTTACTAAACTTCGAGTCAGCAGAAGTTTGACTGCACAAGGAAACTTGTCTATTTGCCGAATGACCACCCTTTAGTTGCCGTGAATTTATTGGCTGCTTCCATGAACCCTGCCTTGACACAGATGTCGATGTCCCCTCAGCAGAAGGTCCTGCCTCCCCATTCATCCTCCTAGTTTTACCAGCGGAGCCGGATTGTGATTCACCATTAGATTCTAACTTAGGTTCAGATGTTTCTGGATGTATGCCACCATTAGGAATGTCAATTGGTTTCTGATCCCGGTATACAACAGGCCCTGGAATCCCGCCTCCTTGCTCAGCAGTTGGAGGGCCTGCACGAGATTCTCTAACTGTGCGTGTGACGACAGGTTGTGGGAAATTCTGTCTTCTAGGTGTTGTTGTCTTAATAGGACCAGCTTGCTTGACATCTTCCAGGTTGAGAAACATAGTCTGCCTGTGGCGTTTCTTTCCCAACATCGTCTCTTTGTGATGATCCATCTTTCTTTTGACAGTAGTATTTGCGCACTTGATTGCATGACTTGCCTCAACTCCTTTAGTTTCTCTCGGCCTCACTGTTAAACCCTGTTCTTGAGGACTATCAATAGATCCACTATCTTTACCACTGCTTTCTGAAATATGATTGACGCTTCTCTTTTGAAGAGCCGAGTTTGAGTTGATATCTAATCCTACTGTACCATTATCTTTCTCTGTAACTGTAGAATAATCAGAACTACTATGTACATTATCACTGGCAGGAACCTCCGACTCCGTCCACTCCCCTTCTTCTCTCTCAGGTACTCCAACATCATTTGGAACTATCGATGATGCAACCTTTGATTCCTCAAATGATTCCTTAAGAGAACCCGAATGTTGAGCAGCTATAGGACGAACAAAAGGCTGAAAACCAGAAACTGTTGACGCGTGAGAGAACACTCGGCTATTTACATTATCTTGGGAGCTCGATGGTGTAGCAAGCAAGGCAGAGGTATTGGGGTTAGTAGACGGGATAGCCATCTGTGGCGGATTGCAGTTAACAATATCATTGCCATCATCATCTTCTGTAGGAAGTTCATTAAGATCAAATAACAATTTTCCTTCTGATGCCATCTCGTATGTATAGTCATAAACAGTGTATAATCCGACAATAACACAAATCAAAAAGACTTATCCCCTCTGACGACACCAGCTTCTGCATAGAACATTTAAACCCAATAGAAACCACAATCAATAAACAGGTAATGCAAATTTGATTGAAACATATAGGAATCACATTCAATTACAACAACAAAAAAACGATCTTTATATTGCTGCAACCTAAAAGTTTATAAAAAGAAGTAAAATTTAAAAACCAATCACACGCATGAACAAATCAAAGAGAAATTCAGAGACGAGATCAATGGAGATTAAAAAAGTAAAGGATCGAGATCGAGAGAACAAACCACTAACGGTGTCGGTGGGGGGTCGACAAAACCTCCTCTCTAAAATTAATCGGATCGCCTAAATGTCCTAAGAAATCTCCTTCTCCGGAGAGAAAAGGTAAAAAAAGAGTTGGAGACGGCGGCTGAATAAAATTACAAAAGCAACGGCGACGGAGGCGGATCGAAGAAGATCTGGTATATTGGTCGATGTCGTAGAGAGGACGACGAGAGAGAGAGAATCTGGTGGTTGAGAGACGATGAGACTCTTTCTAATCAAATTGGATCACGACCGTTGGATTACGACCAATAGGAATAATCCGACGGTCTAGAACGAGCCTATGACAAGTATATTAAAAAAACGAAAGTGACGGAGAGTGTCTGAAGAAGACCTTGTTTGGTTTTTAGCAATTGCATACTCTTTTGACGCTAGTCTCTATATCGTATTTATAGGCGAAACTCGAAAGAGAGAGAGAAGAGAGGCCAAGTTTGGTCCGCTTCTATTATTATTGCGTCAAAAAACTAGGTTTTTGATTTATTTTTTTATTATTTTTATGTATTACTATATTGTATACAATATTACTATATTGTATAGTTTTATTTTAAGGTATTATAACTTGTGAATTATTTAAGACTTGGATACTCTATTATTACTGTCTAGGTCCTCCTGTGTCATATGCTTGTAATTGGGTTAAAGAATATAAGCTTTGTTTCTATGATTATATATCAATAATTTAATTCGACTGATTACGTATGTAACAAAATTTGTATTGGGACTAAACTTTTTTTTCTTTCATTGAATATCATGTAGGCTACTCTTGTCACGAAGAAGAAAGTTGCGGATTGTGGCAATTAAAATGCATTATTTATTGGTTGTGTCGAATAGATTGGTACTACATATGTCATGTAACATTATGTCATATAGATAGATTTTTAATCAAATATCGGGTGTAAATATTATTGTGGTTTTAATAAGAAGTGATGAAAATGGGGTGGTTGAAGCCGTATAATTACAGTAGAAACATATAATAGTAGACGGTATAAATCTAAAGCAGTGGATTTAGCAAGACTATGGGGATTATTGGTGATAATCATTAGAGGTTATATGATTTTAGCTTTCTTTTTAAAGTTTGATATTAAGTCGATCACATTTTCTTACGGATTTAAAAATAAGAAAATATGATTAGAGATAGCGGTAAATTAACATACATTAAAATACGATGGTACAATAAATCGTACTTAAAGCTATAAACATTGTGACAAAAGAGGAAAAAAATTATGTTGTTGATTAATTTGCATTTTAGTAAATATTTTACAATTAAATTTTACAAAAACAAATTAATATACGCTTAGATCTTTTTACTACTTCTACTGTCTAGTGATTGTTTAAATAATTAAAAATTCGTGAAAGTTTATAAGATAAAATATATATTTAAATAAAATTGTAAAGATCTATTCTGGTATTTTATAGTAAGAAATATGTAAATATTATTTTCTCTAAATGAGTGAAGGTTCATGAATCATGAAACTAAGTCACTAATGCAAATAGAAAAAAAAGAAGTATATCTTAGTTATTCTGAAATGGTCTGTTTACAGTTTGTCAATTACACAATGAGAGGAAAAAAAAAAATTACACAATGAGTTGTTGATTAACTACAAGGGCCATGTCGATTTAAAAAAAACAAGAGAGATAAATATATAACATTGATTAATATAAATATTGTTTATTAACTATTAAAAAATCTATATTTACAGCAAAATACTTAGTTTAAGAAAAAGTCAACAACTTTTTTTTTTAACATTTGAGAGGAAAAGCAAATATGAAAATAAAATAAAAAAGGAAACTCTTAACAAAAAAGTTTGAATTAAAAGAAAATACAATAATGGCACATTAAAACACATACTTTAGCATTTTAAGTTTATATCCTTCCGTTTTAGTTGGATTAAGAGTCAGATTAAGGCTAATTAGGACTTTTCAGATACGCCTAAATTAGGCGTTTTGCACAAGATATTTTTCAATTGACACCTTTTCATCAAAATTATTTGGGCAATTTATAGAATTTATCAAAAGTAAATAGACAGATATGTAATTATGGAAAAGATAGTAAGACCCTTTATTTGACTTGGTACGCGTTAGTCTCTGTCTCTCTCTCGCGACTCGCGCTCTCTCTCTCTCTCGTACTGTGCAAAGTCCTCTGTTGCAGTCTCCAATAATGGCGTTTTTTAAGCTACTTTTGTTTCTTTTTCTCGTAACGCTCCAAATTGCTTCATTCACTGGAAATGGAGAAGCTTCTTCTTCCCCAGAGAACAATGGCTGCAATGGACATCAAAACCATTTGCTTAACGAACTCAAATCCACTGTCTCTGCTCTTCGTACGGTTCCTATCACTCTTACCCTTTTCGATTTTGGTTCAGTTTTACATGTTTTCTCGAGAAACTTTGCAATTTTCTTGCTTTAATGTCTATGCAAAGGTTTAGTCTTTTTGAAAATTTCTCTACGATTAGCTGGATTTTGTTTTCTGGGTATTTCTTCAGTTTTGTTTATGAAGAATTGTAACGAATATGAAAAGAGGTATTTTGATATTTGTTGCATTGCTTTGGAAATTCTGGAGAAATGAGTAACGGTTCATTGAATTTTGATATTAAGTTATGTTTTTTTGTTTGGTTTCTGAGATAATGTAGGTCGAATAAGAAATCGAAATTTTCTTCTTTTAACCTTTTTTGTTAAAATGAGAGACGTTTCACATTTTTAGTTTCCATTCTGTTTCTGGAGATTACTTGTAACGTTTGGTTGCTAAACTATTGAGAGGGCTTTTTTTTTTGTTTCTTTGTGTGTTGTTTAAAGAATCAATCATCAAGGAGAAAAACCAAGAATTGCTTAGCAAGGAAGAGAAAATCCGAGGCTTGGAGTTATATATCAGGGAGAAATCTTACTTGTTTGAGAGTGAGATTGATTTTTCTCAAGTGAGATTTTTCATTCATCTTTTGGGTTTGATTCATTTGTTTTGTAGAAGAAAGATTGAATTGGTTATTAACTCTAGTCACTATTAATGCTCTATAGTTTGAGAATCCAGTTAAGCACGCTAGTGAAGTAGAAGAAAAGGTTTATGAACTTCAGAAACAGGTTTGGTTTTGTAGTTTGAATTGTGTGTTTTCTTTTGCCACATTACCTTAATTCAGTCTTTTTATAACACTTGTGCATTGGCAGGTATTTGGACTAAAACGGGAAGTGGAAATGCAACGCACGAGTAGGCTCGAAATGGAAGCTGAAATCGCAGAGATAAAAGTTGCAGAACTTAGCTCAAATCATGAAAATGTAAGAGATATGGTGTCTCTAGGATTTGAGTACATATCAAGAGCTTACTCTACTTTTCTTTTTTCTTTTTTTCAGATTGATGGGAAATGGTTCTTGTCTAAACTTGGTCTCGACACGGATAAAACTCAGGTAATTCTAAAAGTTTTAAGGCGAGTAACATCGCATATTTTAGTGATAACTCAAGGCCCTTTCTTTTCATCTATGCAGGCATATCTAATGACCCTATGGCATCAACATCTTAGCCCAACTCTTCATATCACTCTTCAAACGGTTTGTCTTCAATTCACAATTTACCCTGAAAGTCTTCAGTTTACTCTTAAATGACAAGTTATTTCTTCTTCAGGTGTCCCAGAAAATTGAGCAAGTCCAGAAATGGTCAGAGCCTCACATTGAAACCCTGAATTCAGTGAGTTTTGTTCTAACTGTACACTTGTTTAGTTTCCATTTACTTGATACTGATATCTGAGATTTCTTTACAGCAATGGATTCCAAGCATCAAAGATACATTTGTGACATTAACCATATATCTCGAACCAAAAGTTCAATATTTAACCGATAAGTCCATCGAGGTGTTTTATACGTCTAAGCAGGCTTTGACACCACATCTCATCCAAGGATTTGACGTTTCATATTACTATCTTGAGGTTAACATATTTCCATCTGCTTCTCTTCTGATATTGCAGAAAACATTGTGATCATTGTCTTGTTTATCTTAGGTAATCAGAACACATACACATCCATACACTACCAGGATTATGACCTTAACGAAGCCACACTTGGAGAGAGTACAAGTTGCTTTAGAGCCATATACTGAAAACGTAAGACATGGCTTTAAGAAGTTGGTTAACTCAACGAAAATCTACCATCAACAGGTATATTCATCATATTGCTTACTAGTTTTTATGAATTCAACTTACTGTAACACTTTGATAAGCTTCACTCTATTGCAACCAAGGCTCAAGAAATGCTGAAGAACAATGAGATCACGAAACCGATTGCTACCATGGACTTAGCTTGGGTTGGGGTATGTGTTTCCAGCAATTTCCGTTTACTCAGTCCATCTCTAGAGTCTACAAATCCGAACTTAGTCACTTCTTCTAATAAATTTCAACAGGCCACAGCTTTAATTGGCTTCCCTCTTATATTCATCATCAAACTTCTTTCTGCAGTCTCCAAGTAAGCTTTGAACATCTTTCAACAATAGTCTAAACTTTACTTATAAGTTTCAATCTGTTACATCAGAAAGTAATTACAAAATTGCATCTAACAGTCCTAAGAGGAAGAAGAGATACAGCCATAAAAAAGAACCAACCATTGGGTATCGCAGAGCCAAACGTCGGCATCCTCACCAATGAAACAATAGAATTATAACTTGAGGAGATCAAAAAGGTTTTTGTGACTTCACTTATAGATTAGATTGGTTTTGGTTCCTGTTAAGATGGTTACTCTAACGTAGGAAATATCTTTTGCAGGTGGTTTGTATATACCTTTCTGGTTTCTCAGACTTATAACAATTAAATGGTTTCGGCTGAAGAGGTTGAGCAGAGGAAGTTCTACAAAACTATAGGTCTCTCTTGACTCTCTGTAGTGACAAAAATCTTAGCACAATCTTTTCAGTTTTCATAGTTTATGGTTTTATAGTAGAGAAGAGAAGAAAAAGAAAAAAAAAGTTGTAAATCTTCTCACATAATACAGAAATGATTGGGTAATTTTAGTTTGGCATGTTGTTAATGTAGCCAGGCCCAGCCCAACTGGGTTGGTACGAGTTGAAACAAAAACAAAAAAGCCTTAATATTTTCAGATTTTTTTTTTTGGACAAACATATTTCAGATTTTATCAATTCATTTATAAAAGATATTTTAAAAATAAAATAAAAATATTTGTGAAGACAAAATGGGAGAAAGAAAATGACAAGAGAGAGTCAATGTCTATAACGACTGTTTGTGTCTGATCCCAATTTCATGTCTTTATATGTCTTCTCCTTTAAAGGTCGCTTTTCATTTACGCTCTTTGTTGTTTTTAGCTTTCATTTCTCTTTTTAGCTTTTATTTATATTTTTTTTTTCTTTTTATACAAAGTATTTTTTATATAAATTCCATAATTTATGAATAAATGTCATAGTTTATGTTTTCTAATCTTTGTTCAAAATAAAAACCAAAATAGAACAAACGAATATATATGAACTAAAAAATAAAACAAGCTAGAAATATGTATTATTAACAATAACCTAAACAATTTTAGATGGAATATAATTTTTTTATAGTCGCGTTATCGAACTTGAACATTGATTGGCAAGCATTTCCGTTTTCGTCATGTCTTGTTGCTGTCTATAAATAAACCGTCTATAAATAAACCGTTTTTTATTTGAATTTCCGTTCCGTTTCCGCAAAATCCCAAATTATTGTTTGCCAACCCGGAAGATTGAGTCCACATGCCCAAGTTTTCCAAAGGTTAGCCTAGTGAATTAAAACAAAATCTTAATTACATTTCTCACAATACTTATGGTCATGAGGAACATCAATAAAAATAGAAGGTGCAACCACTAAGGAGTATTACATGCAAATGTGGTAACCAAATCTGAAGGAATAAGAGGACAATTAGATCAGATCCGGTGGTTTAAGATTCAAATACCGAATTTGCCCTTGTGACATTCAAATTATTACTGGATTAACATAAATGGAGACACACGTAATAACTATTGACAAGGAGAGTATGTGGTATTGACCAAACAATACACACACAGACACACTTCAAACTTAACCATGGTTACTCGCACGTGATATGTCCTCCGGTCAAATATGTTTTCATTATCATTGTTAATTATTATTTTCTTATCATCATAATTCTTTTACAAACCAGTGATGAAGACTACTAGGCTACACTAAGTTCTCACATAGAAAAATCACGTTTAAAATTTTAAAAATATTTAACTGAAAATCAAGGAAGTTTGGGTGAATTTATAATTTCATTTCATAGATGCAATAAATCTTGAACAATTTGTTCTTATATTTTTGTATATAATTGGATATTGAATTTTTGTTTATCTATGGCCTAGATCAAACTCTTGGTATTAATGCGGAAGCTAACTCTTACGACAAAAAAAATACAATGACACATGCGGAAATTTATTGAGCCTTTCTATGATAGTAGAATTGACATGTACATGTATGTCGTATCTCTATCTTATTTGGATATATGGGGTATAGTTATAGTCATATTGGAGAAATTTTCTAAATGTTTTCTTTCTTTTTATATGATAAGCATTTACTTTATTCTTTATAAGTTTCGAAATGAGTTAGTCCTAACCAACCTGAGAAACTGATCACTAAAGTATGAAAAATGGATGATTTAAGTTGCTGACAAAAGGCATAAAAATGGATGATTTTTGTCTCCTCATATATACTGCATGTACAGCGTTTATACGTTTATATAGGGTTGTTTTATGTATTTTATATAAATATACTGTACAACATAAAAATAAATACTACTCCGTATAGTTTTTTTTTTTTTTTTTTTTTTTTTTTTTTTTTTTTTTTACTACTCCGTATAGTTTATCACAACAAAATATATATTTTGCATATATACAGCTGTATATAAGACCGTATTTTAAAATACTAGGCCAATTCAACGGGATCTTTTAAATAGTTACGTTACATAAAAAACCGAAGTAAATTTTTATTTTATCATCGTTAAAACACAACAGTTAATAATGATCGTTAGCAACAGCAAATTACTTACATGGTTATCAACAAAGTATCGTGTTTCGTAAACAATAAGTTAAAAAAACCAATTCAATGAATATTGGGATTAACAAACTGTAAAAATTAGTTTATTCAAAGAACAATTAATGGCTGAGTTAATTAGCTTACCTTGAATTGTTAAATAATTAGATGCTTCTAATCAGATTTGTAGGAGATATGTCGGAAGCACCGACGACACGTGCGGATCCGTCACGTGCGCGATGAAACTCTTAACTCGTATGTCGATATTTTTTTGTTTTTAAATTCAATATTTAAAAAATGAAATATTTTTACTATTATATTATATATATTTTTTCACACTCCGTATTGTCGAATTTTATGCCCGGAATCAAGGGTTTGACTTACCAAATTGTTACCCTTTTTTGGGCTTACATTTATAACATTTTTAAAATCTGGATTAAACTTTTTTTTTATAAATCACTAACTAGAGAAGAAATCTATATATAATAGCAATCTAATAAATACCATTTGCACATCTGAACGGTTGCGTCTTTTTATCGCAACCTTTCGTTTAAATCGGTTATTTTTTACGGTTATTTTGGTTGCGTCTTTTATCGTAATTTTCGTTTTAATCGGTTATTTTTTTACGGTTATGTCGTTTCCAATAAATACCATTTGTACATCTGAACGGTTGTGTCTTTTTATTGCAATCTTTCGTTTAAATATTTATGGTTGTTTTTCTTACAGTTATTTTTGTACGGTCATGTTGTTTTATTGAATTTCTTTTTACGTAAACCAATAAACTACATATAAAATTGGTTTATTTCATAGTTTACATATGGATATATTTTTAATTTTTAAACTAAAATTTATATTTTACGGGTATGTTTTTTAGAAAATTGCAATTCGAATATCTTCTGCGGTTGCTTCTTTTAATTGTACCTCTTCATAAACAGTTGCAACCTTTTATTCGAATTATTGCAATATTTAGTTTATGTCACGAACAATTGCAACCTTTAGTTTATATCACAAACAATTGTAACCTTTGATTTATATATTTAGTTTATTTCACGAACGATTGCAACCTTTGATTTATATATTTTGTTTTGTATTTCACGAACAATTGCAACATTTGGTTTATTTTACAAATTGCTATAACATCTAATTATCTACCGTCGCGTCTCTCGGTATAATTTTCATAAATTAATATTTTTAATTTTTAATTAACAAAATGCATTTAAATGAGATTGTAATCGTTTAATTGAACCGTTGAAACATTTGGTTTATTTGACCAATCATTGCAATTTTTGGTTTTGTTTTACGAACCATTGTAATCTTTAGTTTATTTGACGAACTTGACGAACCGCTACAACTTTTGATATATCGCAACATTTCATTTATTTATTTTTAAACTAAAAAAATTATTTTACGTTATGTTTTTTGAGAAAGTTGCAATCCGAGTAAATATTTTTTACGGTTGCATCTTTTTATCGTAATTTTTCATAAAATGATTGCAGCCGTTTAGTTGAACCATTGCAACATTTAGTTTATTTCACGAAAAATTGCAACTTTAAGTTTATTTTATAAATCGTTATAACATTTAATCATCTACCATCGTTATTATTAATTTTCGTTTGATATTTTTTTAACGATTTTTGAAATATTTTCCCCCGCGACATCGCGGGGGTCCGGAGTCCTAGTAATAATAATAAAAGACATGTGAAAGAGTTAATGAAAGTTGAGAAAAAGAGATAATATTAGTATTTTTATTTTTATTTTTTCTCGCAGAAGAGCCAAAGCTCTTTCCTTCATATATACGAACCCCTTTTTCCATTTTCTTTGTGCAAAAGTGAAACTTCCTTATCCGATTCTGAAGCAGAAATTAGCTGCAGAATCTTGAGATTCTTTAGAAACCAAGATTGGTTTTACACAGAATCTTCGCTTATTTGTTCAGATCTGCCACTGTTTCAGGTTTGAACTAATCTTTATTATAATTTTCTCTCCTAATCCTTCTCTGTTTGATCAATTTCATCTTGGTCTTTTTCAATCGATTCGATATGAATTTGATTTGGTTTAGCTTAATTTGTTTTAGTTCTATCTAATTTTCTTAGTTTACTGTTCTTTTGTGTGGTTCTTGTTCTTACTTAAGACCGATCTGTGTTTTTTGCTTTGTCTGCTTCAAAACACAATCGGTGAGCTAGTCTAACTAAAGTTTCTAAATTTGTGGTCTTTTTAATTTCTTAACGGATATATGTATTGATTTTACAAAAACATAACTATCCTCAAAAGTTTTATAATTTGTATATTCACTGATATTTTTGAGTTTTTCCGGAGATTTGGTATTAGAAATCTTCTTTCTATCTGAAATGACCCTTTTTGTCGGTTTTTCTTGAAGCTTCTTTTTTTTTTTTAATTTTCCGGGAAAATCTCGTTTATTAGGTAGAGTTGACTGATACAAAGGACTTAAGTTGCTAGATAAAAACATTTAAACTTGAATTGATCGTGTTTCTGTGTTGTTTTTTTTGTTTGGTTACTACTCTGTTCTCAAACAAAGCTGATAGGTACATTTATTTGTTTTTGCAGCAAAAACGGTCACAAGATATGATAAATGTGATGAATCCAATGAAAGGTGGAATAGAGAAAGGTTTAGATCCTCAACTATGGCATGCATGTGCTGGTGGTATGGTTCGTATGCCTCCTATGAACTCTAAAGTCTTTTACTTTCCTCAAGGGCACGCCGAAAACGCTTACGATTGTGTCGATTTCGGTAATCTTCCTATCCATCCCATGGTTTTGTGTCGTGTTTTAGCCATTAAGTATATGGCTGATGCT